ATATGTAGTATCTGCCGTGAAGTGTATTGTCAACGGAACGACCGAGCCGGTCTCTCGAGGAACCCTTTTATATTCTGTCGAACGGCCAACAGTGGAACCAGAAGAGGAAGACCGATCAAGACCACTGCTGCTGCAGATTTCTGACTCACGGTAGAGCCAATCTTTGCCTTTTCTCAGAACATGGCAGAGAAAGAGGAGATGAAGGCATAGGAATGAAAGACGCAGAGGTGGGGAAAGGAAGGAGAGATTACCTCGTGTAAAATCGTGGCAGCGACTTTTCGTCGTTCGCGAAATAGCCATGGACAAGTCGACGAATTTCTTTCTCCTCTTTTCATCGCCAGTAATTCCGCTGGACGAAACTCGCCAGCGCAAGCTACTCAGACTTCCGCCAGACAAAGACACTCTTTCGATGATGAATCTTCAACCATGAAAGGACAACATGATAGCAAGTAAGACACGCGGCTTGTCCGATTCTGCTCGCGCTAAATAGTTGGGAAAACACTTGAATTTATTTTTCTCTATTTTTAAGGTTTTCAAATGGATTTGAGCTATTTGGGATCCTAACCTAAATTCAGATATATGCTTGAATTAAGCTGATCTGCGCAAATCTGCGAGTTTCCTCAAATAATTTGTAGTTAATTGAGATAAAAACTATCACAGCTTGCGGCAGGGATGCGAATTTCGCGTGTCTCGATCGATGACAGATCTCTAGTGAAAAAAAGTGACGTAAAGTTCGTCTCGCGAGCGAAAGAGAGAGAGCTGGGGCCAATAGTAAACCAAATTAAAGACCTCGCGTGAGGGCGGTAAAGCAATTTCGTAGTCCCGTACGGGGTTCTTCGTGAAGCGCTTCTACATCACTGAGCGCGAATAGCAGGCGTGAGAGTAATGGCGAGAGACGAAGGACCAGAGACCCATAGGATACAGGATGCAGGATCTCCTTCCCGCGAACAATCACGGCAGAATCCCCGTTTTGCCAGTACATATTTTTGTATCTTGGTATCAAAAGAATTTCTCTTAATGGTTTAATAAAACCCTGTTTTCTCCTAAATTTTTTTAAAACGCAATTTGATTATTTTATCATGCATTGAATTGTATTAAAACTGTCAAGTAGAAATATGTATTGGTTTGTTAATTTGTGTACATTTTAAGAGAATTTTTTAAAATAATTTTTTTCCACACTTGGAAAATAACTTATTAATGTTTTTTAATATTTTGACATTAATTTTAAGAGAAGCAAAAGAAAAGTCAAAAATTTGTTACAAATTGGAATATTATTTAATATTAATAATATTCTAATATTTAATTTAATATTCAAAATTAGTAGTAAGAAGAGACAAGGATTTATATTTAATTAGGATTTAATTTAATTTAATTTAATTTAATCTCTTACAGAAGCATATCATTTCTTGTGTTAATCTGCTTAGTTGAAAGTGTCACACAATTCTATAATCTTCTATATCTTCTATTCTATAATCTACATACATCAATATGATATTGTTACTATGTAATCATTTTTCGATAAAAGACAGTGCAAAAGTTGCTTCCGTCGTTGTTCGTCGTTAAAACGCTAGTCTGCGGTTGTGAAATGTGTTGCGAAATGCAATAATATAAAGTGCAATCAGAAGCAGCGCGGTGTAACGATAAATTGCAACGAGATGCAGTAGGCGTGGCAATACTCTCTCTGTTGTGCCTTCAGCTGATATTTCATCGAATATATCTGCGTGAGATATCTCGAGAGCGGACGACACTAATTTTTTAAAAACGTCTATTACGCGACGTGAAATGAGTTATTATAGAGTGGAAATGGTACGAAATTTGCATTATATCGAGTGCATGCTCGGGTAGATCGAGTCATACGATATTAATTATAGAAACGGTATGCGGACTTATCGTGCCACGGAATATATCGCGCGCGATACAAGTATAGTTCATTGCCGTGCTATTCATGCATCACTGATTGATGTTTTAATTAATGCCAATTTTATCCTGCAATTTTTTGATCGCTAAATAATAGAAAATGAATATTATAGTGTTTGGTGCTTAAATGTATATTTTGAGAAATTAAAATTTTTTACAATCGAAGAAGATTTAAGGAAATCTATATTAGTAAATCAGAATTTTACACGCCTATTTATTTGAAGGAGATTCGGAATGTAGCTATTAGATAAATTGTAATCGACTTTATTATCATCCCGTTCAATGTTTGCGTTTCGTGACACAAATTCTTTTTTTTTCAGTGCGATATGATTATAATCTGTATTGACCAGCTTTCATGACGTTTAGACTTTAATTAGTAAAAGGCTCACATGCTATGGATGTGTTTTTTTTTTAACGGTCAAGGCAGAAAACCAAAAGTATAATCTTTTGATCTACAAACGCATACATTGTGTCGATGAATTCATCGAAATGTTTGCAATAAGTCGAAAAAGTTTATGTGCGATAATATTGATTCTTCGATATGGCGGTATTTAAAGAAACGTTAATTTTTTATGTACTAAAATTTTCAAGCTTAATTACATTAAGAAAGTAATTTACTTCCCTAAAAGTTTTATTACTAAAAGTATATATTTTGTTTAAAATAAGTAAATATAATTTATCGTTTGCTACGAAAATTATACTTTATACGTCCAATACGATGTGCATCGAAAGCAATAAAGACCTTCAGTCTTATTTCGCCAGTGATTCATGTATGCATAGGTTTAATAGGCGGTATTCAATCCGCAATACATTGTGAGCTATGGAATACCCGCCTTCGCTAATTCGATCAGTTACACACGCGACGCGTATCGCCTTGCGCGCCTTCCTTCGCGAGAATAACGTACCATTTTATCATCCATCTTTATGCTGCCTTTTTTACATTCACGCAATCGTAAAACACAGTTCTGGCACAGATCGATATTTCTACCTTATTCCACAATTTCAAAAAGTCGCATACGTTAACGTTATTCCGAAGTAGCTTAGCTACAATTTTATACATTTTTTTTTTAAAGCACGGGAGAGAATAGAGTATTTAATATTTTGTTCTCATATTTTTGTTAATTAATTGGCATCTAATATTTAATATCGTTCCGAGTTATTTTGTGGCACAAAGTATAACCTATCACTCTCTCTCTGTTACAACAGCTCTCAACTTGTGCCTTGCCTTCAGCCTTTTGTCCGCCATTATAGGTAAACCTTTATTAAGTTTTCAGTTTCGGAGAACACGTGCCCGTCCATCATGTCTGTCGCTGTCTTGCGAATCGGGTTTTAAATTGTGGCGTGAACAAGAGAGCGAGGATAAATTATTGCGGCACGTAATACACGTTGATTCGCGATGACGCGCGGATCACAAGTAGCCGCAAAGGTTTCGCGTAGCAAAAGTTTGACGTCTTTTACATTGGTCTTCGCCTGCATATATACGCCCGCGTAAATCGTCCTTTTATGTAAATTCTCGCTTGATTTTAGCCGAGATTCTCGGTTTGCTCGACGAATTTCCGGAAATCTTTCCCGCATCAAAATTCATGAAGATTGCCCCTGCGGAGCGTTTCGGCAGATATACGAACTTTTTTTCAGTTTTTGACTGTAAAAAATGAAGGTTCTTTTTATTTCCAATCTTTTGTATATTTCTTTCATATATTTTATATCTTTATCACACTTGCTCTATAAAATACAGTCTAGAAAGTTTTAAATTTATCTTTATTATCATACACACTTTTCTTATTTATAACAATTCCGAAAATTTCGTTTAATTGCTCGAGAACAGAATAGTACTATTTGTAATCTCACTCTACTCTTACTTTCTCTTCTCTTCCGTTTCGTTCTCATTCTTTTTCAATATAAAGAGAGATATTCCTAACGTGGCTTCCAAATGCTTGCTATTCTTACCGGAATTTCGCTTTCTGTTTATAACTTTTAATCAATAATGTCTTTTACAGAGATCATGCACTAACGCGATACGTATGCCACGTATATCCGTCTTATTTGCTCCGTCGCTTATTCGCGGCATTTTCTTACACCCCGAGGCGGCTATTGTCAAGGAGAAACGTTTATTAAGTCTTCAACTTCACCAGACGCGTGTCTGTCCATCAGAGTGAAATTGAGTTCCCGTAGATCGTCTTTCGACCAACACATTGACGGCTCGGTGTAATGAGAAGTCAAGGTACCGCGTATCTAGTAAGTTTTATTTTAATTCCCTTCCGCGTCTAACTTTGAAAAATCACACGTTTCTCAGAATAAAATTGTCATTTCGGTTATAAACCTTTTGACGAATCAAAACCTATATTATTTTTAGTGAAATATAGTTTTAATTTCTGATATCAGATATAAATTTAATATAAAAGTATATATATATTATAAAAAATAAAAAGTTTGTATATAATTTTTGTATTAAATAAAGCTAGGTGAGTCTTGTAATGTTTCCCATTAATCCATAATCCAGATTAATTTTAATCAATATATACGAGATTACATTTATTTCTGTAAAGTTGGCGCATATCAGAGAATTTAGCAAGTTTAATTTATCGTTAATTTGGAACGCGGTTCGTAATGCAGCCCGGTCGATGTGATTGTCACGATTAAGTGTAGAAAAAAGATAAATTACATTATTTAAACTAGCGATAATAAATGGATATTTATTATTTATCATTTCAAATGCCGTTTGACGGTACAGCTGTTTAATTAGAGATCAATTTCTAGTTGATTTCTGCCATTTGTGTGTATATATGCGTGCGCGACGCACAGCATGGATAGTATATGCCGTTATTCGCGTACATCCTGTGGGATGTTTTGCAGTTCATGTTTGAAACGCTGAAACATGATTTTCTACCTTGCTCTTGAAAACGCATCCAACGAATTTTATTGTGTAACCATTATTTCTTTTTTAGCTACAACACGATCGTAAAATACGTTGTTCTAAAATATTTGTTATTATAATACAGGCGCGCGTAATAATATATAATAATTATTAAGATAATATATATATATATTATCTCAATAATATTAAAGTAAAATAAATTACTCACCGGTACGATGCGCAGCAGCGGAGTTGTCGTTCTTTGACGGTGTTTTGATCTGCAAAGTTGATCTATAAAATAAAAAAGTAAATCCAGATTAGTGTTCGAAATAATTAATATTTATAAAATAATTACCGCGCATATTGAACTTTATATTCGTTTATTTATGCACACGTCCAAACAAAGAATTAAATTTTCAAAAATATATTTTTTTGAATAAAGCAAAAGGTTTAGTTAGTTGAAATAATAATATACTGGCTTAATTAGTTGAAATAATAATAATATATAAAAAAAATTTCTAAAAATAGTGAATATTAATTTACTATTATAAATATTTTGCTAAATATTTAAAGTATTTTAAATATTTTATATGCGCTACATTATATATTTTATATGCAATATTTTGTGCGAATAACAAATAACAAATAAATGAATAATTACCTAAGCGTTGCTCCGCCGGCGCCCGATGCTCCCCCCGAGCTTCCTCCTCCTCTCAGTCCTCGCAGTCCAAGGCTCACTCACTCGCGTTCGCGTCGCGTATATGAAAATCGTCCCGATATTTTAAACGACGCGTACTTTATCATTTTAAGACAAAGATGTAACTCAAATATTACGTGTTCGACACTCTCCGCGATAGATTAAGACGGAAAAGCATGATATGGAAAACTGTGAGAAATAGTAAGGGTATTATCGAAGATGATAACGCGCCGATACGCATCTATCTCGTATAAGTGCCACCGTACGAATAATAACGGTACAATAGGAAACACAAGGTCGCGCCGATTCCGACTTAAAGGAATGCGAGAAGTGAGGGCAACAATGTTTACGTTGATACACAAACGCGCCTGCGCGAGAGAGAGAAAGAGAATGTGCGCGCATATCAAGCGTAACGACGAAAACAACTCCAACGCTACGAGTCGGTTTCGAATAAATAAATGTTTGATAATTGTTCTGTTTCGAAACCGACTATCGAAAGAAAATTAACCCGTATACTTTATGCGAAATTTACATCACGAATTTGACACGCTACGGTACGCGAAACGAATACGAAGTCAAACGTACTTTGTGCCGCGACACATCCATACATATAATTATAGTATAAAACGATAGAAATTCAACGATTGATTCTACAATGTACACTCATAATGAACAAAACAAACAATGATAGTCTTGCCTAAAAATAAAGGCCATCATGTACGTGGGTGTTGTGTGTGTATGTATGCACGATCAACTACTCGATATAAATCCGACGTCCTGAGTTTTCTACAAGTTACACCTAAAAAAGTACATTACATTTTAATCTTTCTGAGCAATTGTAGCGATCATTTTGCACGACTAAAATTGTGCATTAAAATCTGTACTCACTGACATCCTAACCTGCTTCGATTCACGGACGACCAGACAATCGATGAAACGTAGTTAATTGCGAATATTCGCGATGAATACATACCTTTCAACAATCGCCCGTCACTTGAATCGACACTCCCGACAAAAGTTCACGATTTTGTGCATATTTATTACGCGATTATTACGGATAAAATATGCGATTAAATAATTTACGTGCTTACTTTGCGTTCCGTTGGGCGCGAAAAGAGTGAGCGGAAAGGATGTCACTCACTCTAGCAGTCAATAGAGCAATACGCTTAACAGTCGGTAGGACACATGCTACCCTACCGGCCGCTGTGAGCTTCAGAAACAATGCAGAACGCGAATGTTTCACGAAGTAACGATTCTAATCGCGTTTTTTATCCACAATCATTACGTAAAGAATGCATAATTATTACAGAATTTTGCCGGGAGTGCCGACTAAAGTAACGGGCGATTGTTGGAATGCTATTATTTAGCGCGGATATTCGCGATCAACGATGTTTGCTCGATCGTTTAGCGATCGATGGACTGAAATAGGTTATGATTGCAGTGAGTAGAGATTTTAATATGTTAAATCATCTATAAATTCGCTCAAGAGAGCAAACATAATGTATTTTCCATTAGAGATGTAACATCTATTCAAGAATTAATCTTGGTTAAATGTAATTTAGAAGTCACGGACGACCCAGAGAGATGCATTGTCGTATAAAATTGCAAAAAGTTTTGGCAATTTGGAGCGTACGTATTACATCCAAATATCATATACACGTAGTTATATCTTTAATTATTAGAAATGTGCAAAAACTTAAACATATGATTACAAAATTAAATAATGCTCCCTGCAATACATAAAATTATCGTATTATTGTGATGGAATTGGTTGAATAACGAACCAGAGAATTAATGACGACAGACAATTCTCTATTCAGAGAATGAATAATATGAAACTAGATACTTCGTTTTGGCTTCGTTTGGCTCGAGGCATTTTTGCATCGCTTTGCTGAAACAAAATACCTCATATTTTAAAATAATTAAATTTTTACTTGTTTCCTATTTGTTCCATTTTCTTCTGAAATGAGAGAAATTTGTGGAAAATTAAGCATTCTCGTTTTACACAAAAATATGAAAAAAAAGCAGTATCAATTATTATATATACTTACAATTAAAAAGAGTATTTATTATCTAAGCGTTTTAGATGTATTATTTAAATAATCATATGTTTAATAATTCTATTTACATATATGTAAATGATAAAATTTATGAACAAAGATGAGGCGTTTTATTATTAACGGTTTATTCTTTAAAAATTTTGCACACGATACCATTCTCTACCGTTTTCCTTGCTGGAAAAATCAATTTTAATCGGAAAGCGCGAGAAGTAAAAATTTACGAACCTCTCGCGTATCTTCTGGTGAAAAAAGGCACCAGTATGCACCAGCGATTTTACTTGGTTTTATTGCGGACTCTGCCATTTATTTCGATCCAGCTTTCGCCTCGCTGTTGGGAGCTTTTGAGCGTCCATGGAACGAATAGTCCGCGGTAAAAGTGCTTAAAGCTTGCCCTAAAATGTTCAGTCCTCTGCAGGAAATTGAGGACCAAATGATTTTTAAAGGACAGATTGAATAAAAATTGGTCAAAATTAAAAAGTTCTCTGTGCTAATCTGGAAAATATTCTGCACCATGGGAAAACTAAATTATTATAAAAGAAAAGTTATAAAAGAAAATAATTTTTATTTAACAATTTGAATATATCTTTTTATAAAACTATCCTGCTTTAAATATTGTAAACATTGCAGACAAATGAAGCACATTTCTAGAATGCATAGAATAATGTAGACGATATAGTGCATTTAATTAATAATTCTCTTTTTTTATTTTTTGATAATCCGCACGCAAGTCTGTAGATAGATAAAATCTCCTTCAAGCGCACATTAAATGAACGCGTTAAATCAAAGTTTTTTATTTATTTTTGCTACGTTTGGCTGGTAAAATAGCATTTTTTCATGAAAATTTTTTTTAAAAAATAAAATTTTTTATTTATATTTAATTGTGTCTGATTATAATGAGCGATAACTACACTACCGTGAAAGTTTTATACAAATCTTTGGTTTATTGCGATTTTGAATTATTTAACTTTAAGCTAAAGATATTTTCAACCAAATTTAATTCACATTTTTATTTTTATTAAATGTAATGTGATAAATAAATAGTAATTAATTTTGCGGACAATTAATTACAAATGGACATGAAAATTATACGTAGTAAAATTTAGAAAAATTTTTAATACTTTTTTATCCTTTTTTAGTATGCAAATTACGTATTGTAAGAATAATTAATCGTAAGTTGAAATTTTATATAATTTTACACGTCATTGTGCTACAAGTGATATTGTTAAATCCAGACTTGAAGGCGCTTCATACCTACACGAATGTTAATCAACCCAAGTTATTCGCTTGTGTTAATAGGATGTTGCCTTGTCGCTCATCTCGCCACTATATTGCTACATCGCTCGTCTGCTTCTATATTGCTGAAATCAGAGCGCCAACTAATCCTGGTAACAGTATAGTCCGTTGACAGTGTCTAGTAATATCCGAATAATAGTATTATTAGTATTAGACAACACTATAAATAATGGTATTACTGGACAGGAAGTCTTTTTACGACTTACTACCAACATCGAACGATTATCATTTCAATAATTAATCTGATATTGATTATTTATTCGCGTCGCGCGCGTGTGTGCGTGTGTGTGTTTACATGTTCCATATTGTTGGAAATAGTTCAGCAAATAGTTCAGCTTGGCGTCGAGTGATGTATGTATGAATTGGCACACAGTTTCTGTTTGCAATTCTAAAACTGTACTTTGTGTTTTTTACATTGCCCAACTTTTCGCATAAAGATACGCCGCAACGTAAAATGTGTTTGCGGAGTGCGAATAACCGACTTACCGATTTACCGTCGGACATAGCATTTCAACTGCTCTGTTCCGCTGTCTATTTATCGCATTTTCTTACGTGAACGTAACAAGTACACTTCTCCGCCCAAGATCGATCGTGACTATCCACTGACGCGTGCACACTTCCCCCCCCCATCCCCCACCTTTTCCTCTCTCCGTTTTTCACTTTTTACTTCGGCTATATCCACCCTCGCAAACCAACTTTCATCCCCGTACATTGACGTTTTTCAGCTCGCTGTCTCTGGTCGCGATTTCAACCGTGTACCGTTATACCGTTATACCGTGACCTATCCCACGGAAATCGATATGCTATGCCCGAGGATATCGAACTCTTTTACGAACTGTAGTCACATACCGTTAGTTCTGTCGTGTGAGAACGCAACTCGATATAACTGCCGCGCGGAGCGCGGATTTCGATAGAAACAATCGGCGAATGTTCCGCCCGCGTCTCTCTCTCTCTCTCTCTCTCTCTTTCGCTCGCTCGCTCTCTCTCGCTTCTGACAATACATGAAATAATCTGTAAATATTGCAATTTAAATCAAGTGTGTAGTATAATTGAATGAGGCAAAATTTTAAAGCGATGAAAAAGGGAAATATAAAAGTGTGTAAGAGTTTTAGGCTGCTCATTTTTGAATGCTATATTTTCCAATGTGCGAGTATATATTTTTGTTGATTTAATGATGCTACTAGAATATATTGGACAAAATGTAAACAACGCATACACACATATTTTCATAAAGTCACGTGTAATTAACATTGATGGTCGCCATTAATAAAATTGGGACACCATCGTTAATAACAATGTCCCTCGTGATCATTGTGACTCCATATGGAACAACAATTTTTGCTATAATTCACATCTATGCTATTGTTAACGTCTTAATTACATTATCCTCCGTTTATTGTTAAATATTATTGTCAACATCGACAAATGACGCAAAATATCGCGTGCGCATTATCTCTCTCTCTCTCTCTCTCTCTCTCTCCCTGATGCGATGTTACACGCGAATATCTGGTTCCAGCTTTGATAGCGTCTCTATTTTATTTTCGGGAGGAGAGCTCGAATTCGCCGTCGTGCGTATTCGAGACGCGGTTCTTCGCGGATATGTATCGCTATTCCTCGCAGAGTTGAATATTCGGCACAACAATTCACTGTTCTGCATTCGGCGTGCAAACTTCGGATCCGTAATCCGCATCCGAGCCGTTGTCATGCTACGATATCACGGAGCGGTATTACTCCGAAAACCAGGCACAGGTATGAGATAACTCTGTCATTATCGGAGAAGCGTCGTCGCGTGGTAGTTGGGGGGGGGGGAGGGGTAATCCACGGCGCTTTACGTCGTCAATCGTCGTCGTCGTCGTCGCGGGAACGACGTCGCGCGACCTCGTTTTCTTCCGCGGCCGGAAGACGCGCGACGTCAATTCTTCCACTCTTATTGAAAAGAAATTCATAACTACGAAGTAACGCCCCGCTTGTAGTTGCCACTTTTTCCCGATAGTTTCTCGAGTCACACAGCGCACTGCAACGCGACACCGTTGCAAAACGCGCTAATAATTCTTACGACGACTGTACTAATTGTACGGCGTGTTCGTCGCCTGTATTTTCTTAATGGACAATTTTTAGTGTCATTAGAAGCTGCAATGAGAAAAGTGGCAATTTTTTTCTGTCAAGTCATTAATAATTTTGATATATGATTAAGATCTTTCCACGTGGATCGAATGCATCGCTTTGTCCATCGTGTCTGAAATCGCACTTAGGAACTTTTCTTTGCAAATATTATAAAACAGCGTGATGAACTTTTTATCGCTTGAATACTTGAGCTGTACACGATATGAAACGGCAGATGTGACATTCGTCGTGACGGCGTCTCGCTAAAAGGAGGAAAAAAAAGCGAGGGTGGGTCGGATGACGAAGCGAAGCGGCGACGGGGGAGGGGGAATGGAATAAAAAGGAGAGTGAAAAACGTTTGCTGGCTGCATGCTTCGCGAAGGGCGCGCGGAGCGAGCGGGGTGGACGAACTCGCGGCGAGAGCGGCTGGCGGGTGAGACGGGGGGGGGGGGGTAGTACAAGGGGGTGGCATCTAAATGGAGATGTCTTGTATGTAGAGTCGCGTCGTCAGAACGATAGCAGCTCGAAGCTGCGACCGCTTCCAAGACTAAGAGACAAAAGTTGCTAAAAGGGAAATCTATCGGAAGACTCGTCTTCGTTTCTTTCTTCGAGACTTGGTAAAATAAACCGATTTCTTTCTCTATTTCAATCTCTTTTTTTTCAATTTGCATTATATCTCGAGCAGTTATATACTTAGTTATATACTTTTTTCATTTATCAATATTTATTATATTAGCAGACATTTATTTCAAAATATCACAAAGTATAGTTTTTTGTACAATTGATAACTGGACTTTTTGACGAATTCCAATCCACCTCGTTTAACGTTCTACATTGCAGTTATTTCTTTATACGTCTGCTTTATAAATGTTTGTCTCAGAATAATGAATTTATTTTTTTTGCTCTTTGAATACTACGCTTTTACGGTTCTCTCTATTCTTCTTTGCATCATTGTTCGCGTCTCTTCATCTGCATCGAACACATACTGTCTTACTCTTCCACTTTCTATTCTTTCCAGCTACGATTTATTCTACAAACAAAAAGATATCCGTGTGACGATTCTTATCTATTCTCAATGTATTTTGCTCTCACGGTTGCATTCTTTGTCGCGCGCCTTGGTTTTCTGCATTTCATCCAAACGACAATTCTCGCGTGGATGATGACGACAAACTA